ATTATTTATTATACATTAATTATTTTGAGCGCTGTTGTAATTTAAATATATTTGTCTTTTATAGATCAATAGTGTTACTCCGTTGATGCGCATCGTATCGGTGAGTACCAAATTATCCTTTGATTTAATTTGGATCTATGCAAAGAAATCGTATCATATGTAAAAAGTGCGTAATTAAAATTTTACGTAAAAATATCAAATATTACAAAATATTGCTTCTTAAAATGGATTCTTAAAATGAATGAGCTATTAATTTTAACGTTCAATCCTGAAATGTGTAATTGTTTGTATATTTAATGTGCATACACATTAGACTCTACATATGGTTTCTTATATATTTCTACGATTAAATATTATGTAAATGCATAGTGCACGAATGTAAAGTTCGTGTTTGGATTTGGAATTCTAGAGTAATTTTCATTAAAGTAATTATTCACAGAAAGCTTTATAACATTTGAATCTGCTTTTAATACTTGCACATCCATATTTTGTATTTCCTTGGAGATTAGGTCCCGATTTGATAGCACGATTAGCAAGCAATGAGCTCCACGTTTCATTATCATATAATACTAATTAACCCCCGACTGCGCCATAAATTGTTGACTTTACCACGTAATTTCTATTACCGGGTTCATTAAATTGAGGTGAGCGGTTTTACGAAAGTCAGTGTAGGATGCCAACAGTATAATTATTTAATAGTTATGAATGTTGTAGGCTAGTATCCTGCAGGATTGTGATATATTACTCTACGGATTGAGACATTATTGCGGCTTGTATTCAAATCTCGTTTAGCGCTAAACGTGGGAGTTGTGCGATTCTGACTTTAACGGAGATCATATTCAATGTTATTGACGTGAAAATTATGCAACTCCATATTATTTAGCGTTATGTAAGAGATTTAAATGCAGCTTCTAATTCAGAAAATGACAGATAGGAAAAAATGTGGGATATATACATATAAAAAAATATGAAAAATGAATGACATATTATTGCATATAAAATAAATAATAAGATAAAATATTAGATATTTATACATTGTGTTCGAAGTAATATATATTATACCTTATACGTAGAATTCAATGTGTAAAATATCTTTCTAATTTTACTCATTATTTTATTCATCAATCTAAATAATCTCAAAAATTTTTAGTAAAACTCTATCAATGACTATCAATCAATGTAATGTTACTTAAGCGAACAGTAGTTATTATTGTAAATTTTTTTTCTCGTATTGTCTGAGCAAGAAACTCAATTATTAGGACAATTTCAAATATTTATATATTAGTGTTAAAAATTTTGGAATTGAATTTAGACAATGTTTTTCAAAAATATATTCTTTTTTATATTTCTTAAACATTTCGATATAAATATAACAAATTTCTGTTGGGACACAGTTCGTATTTGTGTTTCTCCTTATGAAAAGGCGTAGGCAAATCTGGTAGGGCTTCTATCGCGATGATCGTTTCTACAAACGTTCGAAACTCGAGACCGTGTCTAGTTGATGCGTCGGGAGACAACAATCTCGTCGAATCCACACCCAGCTCGCGAAGGCGCGTAACATTGTTGCTGAGACCTACGGACAACCGCGGAAATTATGATGTACCATAACTGACGATATCTTACATCACGCCTTGCCCATTTTCATGCCGTATCGCGTCGCGTCGCGTTGCGTCGCGTTGCGTCGAGATAGTCATCGTAAAATAGGAGCGCGTGTCTTTCCTTTTACGAAGTCGTTGTCGAAGTCGAGCCATTAGCTTTTTCCATTGGGCTCGTTAAGCCGGATTCTCACCATTTCGTGGGTGACACTTCGAGGAGAGGAGACCCTGGCGCTCGGCACTATCGATCGCCATCAATTACAAACTGTCCGGGATCGCCGATCGTTAAGCCGGTGTCGATTAGATCATTTAACCTCGCCACTTTCTCGCGCTCGACGATCTCGATCCACGCGTTCGCACGTTCGTAAATTGATAGTAAAAATAGTATAAAAACATCGCTGACGCTAAATTAGATGCTACCTTTTTTTCGTAATTACACCGTAAAATTTATGTAAAAATACTGCTAGAGATATAAAATAAATATCAAAAATAAAAATAAACTAATCTCACTGAAATTAATATGGGAACAATTATTGTAAATTGTTTTTTTTTTGTATACATTGGTCAATGTATTTTTTTTATTTTTTAAATAATTATTTTTTACAAACCTTTAAATATATACAATTCTATAAAAAATCTGCAATAAAAAAATATATAATCTAGTTATTAATTAGAATCTTTATTTTTTTATAAATGTTAATAAGTTCCTTAACGTGCTCATTACATTTAATATTTATTTAGTTTCTACTTTCTTTTTTCAGAAAAATTGCGATTAAATTCATATTTATAATGTTCTCAAATATTTACTAATAAATCGGGAAACAATCATTATAATATCTTATATAATAGTGATTTTAATTGGGATGTAAAAACACCTCGAGTAATAATTTATGCAAAAAATATCGAGTGACTATTCTTGAATTAAAAAACATAAGTTCTATAACAAAAATATAAGTTCTATAACATTCGCACGTATTATCTATCTGCATTTCAGTTTTAATTTCAGAGTTGCTCGTCCCTTAACATTCTTATCAAAAAATCTGATCTTAAAATCTAAAAAAAAAAAGAAAAATTCTCGAGGGCTTATTTCGTGGGAGAAAACTTTCGCAGGTGTTAATATAACTCGCCGGTCAGCTGCCAATTTCCCTCTCCCCTTTTTTCACGCGGGCACCCATGGGATTCTGCGCGTGTAGGGCGCGTGCGAACGGAGCCAGCAGCGACGTGAATGTGTCGCGGCAATACCCACATGCGTGCGTGCGTGCGTGCGTGCGTGCGTGCGTGCGTGCGTGCCTTGCGTGTGCACCTTCACTGCTACACGCGGCAAACTTCTCCCCCTCCCTCTCATCTCGCGGCGTGTACGGTACACACGTGCATGCGGGCGCGGGTACCACTCACGCACGCACGCACGCACTCACACGGGCTCGCATCCGTCCTCCTCGTCTCTCTCTCTCCCTCTCGATCTCCGTCGCGGGTTCTCTAAGGCGACTTACGCCTACACGTTGTAGTCGCAGCATCCACACTTAGCCCTCCTCAGTCCAGCGCGTGCCTCCACGCGACCAACCACCACCTCGAACCACTGCTCTCTCTCATACGCTACTCTCGCGCGGGTTCACGCTCGCGGTGGCGAGCCTCAACACACGTCCGCCGCGAATTTCACGCTGACAGTGATTTCGGCCAGCGCCTGCTTGATCGAGCATCGCGCGCGGCTGATCAAGTGGTCCGCCAGTGTCCTCCTGTGCAACCGACAGTGTCTCGCGACTCGGAGAAAATTGTATAAAGTGCGTCGGATGTGACTGTCATGACGAATGTCGCGTCGACGCTTTCTAACGGTATAATTTCATGAGTGCTCGGCGAGACTGTAAGAAAGCTTCGACGCGTTTTGCAGCATCGTGACATTTATACGATAAATGTAGAATGATCTTTTGAATTACTCTTGTCGAGGTATAAAGATTCATTGAAAATTGAATGACAGTTGAACATTCTTTAATTTTGTCCTTATAAAACTAAATTTGTAAAAATAAATTTGGTATTTCAACGATAGCATATCGATCTTGCATTGTGTAAGATCCTACAGAAATATTCAAGTTCCTAATAATTTAATGCAAGTTCAACTGTCTTTGAAATTTTAAGTACATCTGAAAATCATTACGTCGCGTTTGACTATCTATTTAATTTAATCAATTTTTTTTACAAAGGAGTAAAATAGATGATCGAAATGGTGATCGTGTATATCGTCGTAAGTAGGTGAATTGTTCGTGCGAGTTGTATTGTCGATGTTTGGAATAACTCGGTCAAATTTTGGTGAATATTGTGTGAAGAGTGTTAATCATAAAAAACAATTTCTCAATAAATTCCAGTGAAAAATATCGCTCGCGAGCAACAGTTGGTTAAGTTATAAGCTATCTAAAATATAGGCATACGGTGGACGCGAGCGGGCAATCGAATTTGTAATATTATCGTGACGAGCAGGAGCCGAGTGGAGAATTTACATTCGATCGCCGATCGATTCGGAGGTTCGATCGGAAACCAGTCGACGATTGAAGCGCGGGTAGTGCCGCGCGTTTCGTTGAAGATCATCGTCGGCCGCGTTCGGCATCCAGTCTCATCAGGATACGACGATAAAACGGAGAACGACAACGGGGGAGGCGAATCGGCAGTTTATCGATCCGTCGATCGATCGGGAAACGTCGCGGCCGCCGTTCGACGAGAGAGAACGTTGGATTGGAACGCGGATTGGAAATCGGCGAGCGTGGGTCGACACGCGGCGCCAACCTGTTGCTCGAGATCGGACTCGTTTCCATTTAGAGGACTACGGGAGCCCAGGTCGAACTGGCTGCCGTCGCTCCGACATCGTGGGACCCGTCCTCGATCCGGAGCCAGGAATTAATCAACCGGACGAAAGCGGAGAGTTTCGAGTACCCCACTTCTGATTAACGCCCGAGCGTGTCTTTTATCGAAGATGCAGTGGAATCGGAAGGACTCTGTGGTAGTCTTCTGTTTCGGAGCCAGCTATTGATACCGGTTGTTTTTGATTAACGTTGCGCTCCTCCGAAGAAGGAGGCTGTTGACGATAGGAGGTCTTCAAGACACGTCTTCGACTCGAAACCGGGGATTAATCAAACGAACCTGTGTGTTAAATGGCCCCAACAACGGACAATTATCAATCGAATTTGGTAGAACCAGAGTGAGTTTTCGAGATAGACCTTCCATTCGAAGGAATTTATAAGGAGGATAGACTTATAAGTGGCAGTTCTTATTAATGCAGTTCTTATTAATGTCGGAATGTGAATAATAAGTAGTGCAAACGTGTATCGTGTTGAAATAATCTTAAGACGTAATATTCATAAGAGTGCGTATCGCTTAACGTCTAAAAGTTATCGTATTGAAAGGTGTTCAACCGAGAAAGGTTGAAATCCGGAACGCAGTTTGCCTGATTCGTGTCTTCGAAGCCCAAGAAGACTGATGCGCAACTCCGAGACAAAATGAACATTATCGGATTGAAAATGCTCAGTTATTCAGTGATCAGTTTCGTGGTCCTTTGGACCAGTCTGTCATCGGGCAGTCTGTCGTCGACCAGCGAACTATTGGAATGTCGAGCAAATTTGACGGCGGCGATAAAAAACGATACGACGTTCCTGGAGAAGGTACGCCAGTCGGACTACATCTTTACGGGAAAGGTGAAGGAGCTGCAGCATGGACAGCTGCTGCACGTGCGCGTCAAGAGGGCGATCAAGGGTGCGCTAAACGTCACCGTCGACCTCGTGGTAAACGATACTTGCGGCCGTTACATCAGGCGCAGTTACACCGGCATCTTCATGGCGCGTCGCGGTGCCAACGACGTTGGCAGGATCGTGATGCACTTCGGCCCGGTACCACTTACGCTCGCCAACCTCGACAGGCTGAACGCCGCCGTCAGAGGTGAGCTCAGGTGCCGCCGTCAGGCATACCGTTTCGTTCTTCGTTTTCACGGAATGCGAACGTGGCGGGAACGTTCGCGCTTTAACGAGACACTTTAACGCCGCGCTAAAATGCTTCCCGTTAATTGGATAAGTCGGAATACGGATTACCCGACGTAGCACCGCCGGGTGCCATGCGAGATACAAGCGCGACGGCTGCTTGTCCGTTTCACGTTTAATGGATCTCGTCATCGGGCGAGAGATTTCGCGCAAAGGAATGTGCGCGGCTCGCTTGGATTATACAGTTGACTGTTTAGTTTTTTCTACGTCGCATCGGTTGATTTCGGAAAAATAGATGACAGAATTTTCTTCTAAGAGGGATTTTTTCTACGTCGCATCGGTTGATTTCGGAAAAATAGATGACACAATTTTCTTCTAAGAGGGATTTAATTCTTCGGGACTTTAATGGGAAAATTAAATTGATCTATGAACAATCTGCACGGATATTATTAAATATGGATTTTACAAAATTATTATGCTGAGAATCTTTCGCTTTATTTTGATTCGTGGTATACGAGAATTTATTCCAATTTCTATTCTTTTTATTTGCTACAACCCGTATTGCGCATAATTTTCTTTAGAAATAAAGGAAGGATTTTACATTCACGATTCTTATCTTTTTTCTTGTATATTATGCAGTATTCTCTTACAAGAATCATGCGTGAGCGTGTTGACACGCAATGTGTTGTTGCCACGTAGGTGGATAAAACACGTCAGTCGGTTAGCATTCAAGGTCCACTGGACAATCGCCTCGACAAAAGCATAAGAGAACTAGAAACGGTTAAAGCATCTTCTTACTTGAATTCATTTCTGAGAATATGTGTAATAACATTTTTTTTGCATCGCAATTGATTTTTTAAACTATATTTCTAATTTATAACATGCCAATGGAGATTGTGTATCGTAATTCACTGTTGAATTCATAATGTCAAATTATACCCAATTTAAGTTTACCTTTAATCATTTCTATGAGAACTTTTCTTATATTATCACAATACATTTTTTTGCTCCTTTAAAAGCTATATTAAAAAAAAGTCTCGGTAATTCAATGAGTCGTATGATTCTACATAAAATCTAGTTAAGATCTGAATGGAATGCGCTCGCAAGAAAGTTTGATTCATTACGTCGCGTTAACCCCGAGGATTATTAAATCACGGCCATTTTGCCTCACGCACGTCCCGGCCATGCCCCTTTTCATCGCGTTAATCGCGCTAAATAAAGCGACGCGCATTATAAATAAATTACGACTGTAATTTAACTTCTTTACGATCCGGGCAGTGCTTAATTCCTCCCTCGGGGCCGATGATACCGTTCCGACGTGTTGTACCCCGATGGTCACTTGAATTGTTTCGTGGACTATTAAAGAAATTAATGTAGGAATTATAAGACTGGCTTCCCGGAGTACACCACATCGCAGGCTCCGAAAGGGAGTCTGATAGGGAGTCATGATTTATTTAATAAGCGGAGATTAAGTGCCGGTCTCTTTCTCTCTTTTTCGTCGCGTTTTCGGCTCCTCTTGTCTTTTTGCTTCCGAGATCGGTTTACGGTCGAACGTGGCGCGACGACGATGTCATCGACGCGATACGACGACGTTGATGAATAAAAGTTTCCAAGCGCAGACCCCCGCGGCCAATCGTTTAATCTCAATAACTCACAATGACGCCTGGACCCGACAAGGCTATCGGACGTCGCTTTCCCCAATCTGCCTGCTCCTTTTTTCCCATCATTTGCAAGTTGATCGGTATCGTGAGTCGCCGTGAAGTGTTGCCGGGATCTTTGACGAAAGCCGTCGCGTATAATTAGAAGTTTTTCCCGGTGGCACCCGCGGGGCTCGATTCGAGTTAACGAGGAGTTTAGTTCGCGAGCTCGAGCGCCGGGCGTCAATCGGGACACGGAAGAAGAGAGCCGTTTCGCGATAATGAAAGGGTGAGCGCCGCTGAGGAAATCGTCACACTTGTTTACGTGAAATCGTCGTACGAGATTGATGGCGTGCCTCGCGCGATCTAATATTAATGTCTTCAACAGCTGTATATATCTCTGAAATATCTCGAGCCACGCTGGAATTAGATAAGATGTTGTATTGCACATAATACAGTGGCATAAAAATAATAAAATGGTCTCAAATGTTATTGAACTTAATTACTGAAATATACTTTTTCAAGTTATTCATTATCACGATATATCAAATACAAGATTAAAGTAAACTATAGAAATCAAAGCCTTAAACGGTCTAGCTAGATCTTAAATGTTTGTATGATTCTTGTGAATTTATATACATATATTACATATGTAGTCCTTAAGAAATGATTTTTCGGTCTTGAAACGCTAACTCTACTAAACTACCGCAGTAATATCACGAGTTAAATTGAATACAAGAATAAAATATTGAAAAAAAGAATACTCTAAAATACTTTTACAATGAAATAAAAAATAATAAAAGTTCAGATGAGGCTAATGAGAGTCATACGCTGTTGTAGAAGCGAAGAGATAGGAGAAGCAGATAATCTTCAGACGTTGATGGTTTTCTTCATTTTATTTTGACTAAAACGTCTAGTGAATCTCACCGATTCAATTTTCACTCTTTAAAGTGAGATT